CATTTTCCTTCTCTTCTAACCTGAATCCGTTGTCTGGACGTACGACTAGCAATAGGACTAATAAGAAAAATAATTGGGCAATCTCCGTTCTTGACTTGACTATAGGACGACCAGTGCCCAAGCTCAAACAAAAGTCATGGCTTCCGGTGGGAAAAGCTTACCGGGGTCAGCTTGACCTGTGCTTCGTGTCGTACCTGGAGGCAGCATAAAAGCGACCAGAGCAAAGGCAACAACAACGAAAGCAAGGCCTTGGTCAGGAGAACTTCAGGAGTTCAGGTACTTTTACCATTCGCTTTCTCTCCAGGCTATGTTGTTCTTCAGAATTGCCAATCTTTTCATCCCATGTCCCTGTTTCTGTTATTTTTTCTAGAACATGCATGAGTATGTGTATCATATAATGAAAGAAGAGAGGGTAAAGAAACCCATCCACAATATTACAAGCTGGACTGTCCGTCCGATTCCCTACCAAATTTGCGGATTACTCGCTATTACACCGCCTAAACAACCGTTGGAAGAACACTTCCAGATCGCCACGGAGGAGGCCGGCCAGATCATCCACATTCCCAGGAGTAGGATAGAGAACCAGTCCTTGAGGCGTTGCGGTTCAGGCTTGTATGCTGCGCACCATGGGAGCAGCTCGTCAGTGTGCGCTGGTGCCCTCTCCTCCTGCCACCATGGGAGCAGCTCGTCGGTGTGCGTTTTTGTCATTTCTTCTTCCATGCCATTTTTTGCCCAAATCATGCAATCCACTCTGGTAACCTATTGAACAACAAAAATGGTGCAAGTTATCCTCAACAACTATAATTTACCATTCTTTAGGAGTATACTGGAATAAAGTAAAAGGAGATGCAAGATTTCTCATTGCTCTTGTTTTTTTCTCAGATGTGCTCTTTCTTGCTTTGGTGACCTTTTCCTTCTGATGCATGTGCCACCTTACAAATTGTAACCTACACTAGTTAGTACAAAAAAGGGGTGCACACAAATCAGGGGAGTGCACCACGTGTACCTTAGGATTACAGATTGTATGTCATGCAGATGAGTCTAGGCTGAACATTTGTTGCAAAGTTGCTGATTGTGGTTTTCTGTAGCTCAGGCTACACGGTACCCCTTATCTTTGCCATCCATTTATGCATCAAGATCCATGCAAACACATTTGTCTTTTTTGTTTCTCTCAAACGACAGAACATATGAACTTCAAATTTTGCAGAACAACAATACATTCTAAGTACAATATAGGAAAAAACTTTCAGATTTTTTCATGCATTTTAAATACTTGAAATAATATTTTTATTCAAAGAAAATCTCATTTTGTATATTTATATCAGACCAAAAAATCTGAAAGTTTTTTCACACATTGATGTTCTAATGTTTGTTCGGTCTACAAAGTTTGAAGTTCATATGTTGTTTCATTTTCGAGAAACAAAAAAGAGAAATCTTCTTGTTGTTAGTTAGTTGGAGAGTGCGGATCTCAAAGCAAGGCTGAAGGGTTAAGGATAAGAGGTTCCATGTAGCCTGAGCTACAAAGAAACTTTGTGTTGTTGCAAAATATGTTCAGGTAATTTTAGATAACAAAAGCAATAGCATGAAAATTCTTTAACTGTAAGAGTAGGAGTGGCACAATTGTTGGTATTTTCTCTTCACTTATTAGATCCGTACTGCATTTGGAGAGCAAGACTATTTTACAGATTAATTAAATACACAACAGCAATTTACCAGGCCTCAGAAAGAACAAACCAACCATTTTTTAGCACAGAAATGGTCTAGTGATTGTGGGAATTCAGAACTTGCCAATCAAAGAAACGTATTAGTGTTGGTTTCGATTTTCAAGCTAGTAGTTTTGGAAATAATCCAAACTTGCCAATAGAGTAGTGTTCATGCCCTCATGAGATAAGCTTGTAGTTTTGGTTATATCATTTGAATTTGCATTCTTTGGTTCCAGTCATGTATATGTTGGTGGTACAAAACACACCTTTTGTCCTCTCGAAAATAAACACGTTTCACAATTTACTTTCTATAAAATATGTGTAACATAAAATTCCTACTGTGATAACCATCAGTTGTTGGTCGAACTGAGACATGTCTTGCACATAAAACACAAAATATTTTTTCCCGATCGTGTGCACACCTTCATGAACATGAACATAAAGGATAACGCATGCCTTCTCACCATCCAGTATAATTTATTAACGCTATCAACAATAAACCATCAAAATAAAATAAACAAACTTACATTATATATCTAACCAATTTTAGGTCACAATTAATAGCCGTGCATTAGCACCATAGCATCTATCTCAGTACTCATTAGACACTGACTGTTTTTTTATTCTACATAGGATAGAACACAATCACACACAATAAACATTGTTCGACACACATAACGTTTACTGAATCTAATGAACCCTGAACTTTAAAAGTATATTGCTTCAGCAACAAAGTTCTAAACCACTCGAATTCTTATTTATTCGGGACCTGGATGCCTACTCCGGTTAGTACATCTTGTTGACGCCGACAGGCGTAAGCTCAGAATAAGTGGACATGAGAGGTTCGTGATAACCATCACCACCCGTTGGATAGTTATAAAAGCGTACTTCGCCAAGGAAGATTGGTCGCACCAAAAACAAGTTCAGTGTTGAGCTTCTTGGGGGACGGAAATTCAAACGAGTTATCCCCATTGCTTGATTTGCGCGCAACTCTCCTAATAAACACAACATTCTTGATAAGATCACGGAAAAACAGGTCACTTGGTCGAGAAAAGAGTAATATTAAGAAATACAACTGATAGTGACTTTAAGAAAGTCGAAATGATGACATGCCAAGCAGTGAAGCATAGAATTGTTCCCCGGTGCTAAGGAGAGTTTCTGTTATCAACCCTCATGTTAGTAATAATGTGACATTAACATGGTACACCACCTTTTAAGAAGGCCTTACTATAGGCTTGATCAATCACCATAGAGGTGCCATGGATGAAGCCAACAGTTACTCTACCAGGAAGACGTTTGTTCTATGGCTAGTTCTTTGATATGCGGAGGAACATAGTTTGCATGCCAGCATCTATGACTGCTATTTCCCTCGTGCCTAGAGGGAAATATGTCTCATGATCAACTGGGCCCATGTATATAATCACACCAGCGATATTTACGATTGGTACAATATCTGAAATTAAATAAGAAAAAAGTTAATGTGCATTCGATATTATAATATAGAATATATATTGCATACCACTGGTTGAGCCATGTTGGTTTTTAAACACATCGGCCACAACCGCTAATGTCAACATAAAAGTATGATTAAATAGGAAAACAAATATTATATTATAATGCAACATGAAAAGTTGCATCAGTATATGAAAAGAAGGATTATAATTCTTGACAACAAATATCTACTTTCCAACACACAAAACAGAAAAGGGAACAGGATAGTTTTGTGTGTTGGCCAGTAGATATTTGTTGCCGAGAATTATAATATTATTTCCATCTCCCAATGGCTTTATTCATGTTGCATTATAACATAACTATTTAGCTATTTAGCCATAATTTTCCGTTGACATTCACATTTGTGGTTGCTGTGTTCAAAAACCCACATGGCTCAACTATTAGTATGCTTGTATAATATAGATTCTATAATATGATATCAAATGCACATTGAATTTTTTCTTATCTAATTTCTGATATTGTATCAACTTTAGATATCACTAGTGTGATTATGTATGCGGACCTAGGTAATCACGAGACATATTTCCCTCTAGGCATGAGGGAAATAGCAGTCACAGATGCTGACATGCAAATTATATTTTACCACATTTTCGAAGAACTAGCTGAATGCCATAGGGACCAACTTGTCATGGTGAAGCAAATGTTAGCTTCATCATAGCAACCTCTATGGAGGTTGATCAAGGCTCCAGTAAGTCAAGTGTTGTACCATGTTAATGTCACATTATTAGTAATTCGAGGGTTAATAACATAAAATCTTCTTAGAACGGGGGCAACAACTATATATGCTTCCATCATTGCTCGACATGTCATCATCTTGACTTGTTAAACGTCACTATTAGTTGTACTTATTAATACTACACCTTTCTCGATAGATAGACCAATTGTATGCTCAACCTTTGCTATAGGTTTGCATCAACAAGTTCTAGTCTTCCAGATGACTTGTCTTTCCATGATCTCTCCAAGAACATCGTGCTTATAGGAGGGATGCGCGCAAACAGAGCAACAGAGGCAACTCTTTTGAACCTCCTGCCTCCAAGAAGCTCAATACTAAACATGGTTTTGCATGTGGCTTATCTTCCTTCGCGAAGCATACTTTCAACTATCTAAGGGGTGGTGACGGTTATCACGCACCTCCTATGTCTGCTTATTCCGAACATGATGGACCAATTGGACTAGGCATGTAGGTCCTGAATAAATAAGAATGGAAATGGTTTCGAACATTGCCCCTAAAGCGATAAATTCTAAATTTTAGGTTTCATTGAATTCAATCAATGTTCTCTTTGTGTCAAACAATGTTTGTTGTGTGTGACAGTGTTCTATCCTACGTTGAATAAAAATCCAGTCCCTAATGAGCACGGTGACATATGCTATGGTGGCTAATGCACTGCTATAACCAAGACCACAAGCTTATTAGGTGAGAGCATGGACACTACTCTATTGGCAAGTTTAGATTATTTCCAAACTACTAGCTTGAAAATGGAAAACAACATGGCTTGGGTCGTGGCACCGAGGGTTGGGGGCGATGGAGGCCACAGGCAGGTAGAAGCGCAGGGGGACGGCCAATGACATTTACAAACATGTGGGGTATCATCAGTTACTGCACAAGGCCAGCCTTTTTCTAGCACAGAAATGGTCTAAGTGCATATACATGGTATTGAATGGAATGTTAGTTTGCTACATGATAGTATAATCCCAGGATGGTGGCTAGTATTTTTCATATTTATTGGTCCTTGCGTATTAAACGTATGAGAAGCTTCCAACACTAATTGTGTTCTGTGTTTGTAAATGTCAGGGAACTGCTCCAAAATGTTTCCTGCTCTAAATTTGCTTCTCTTTCCTCATCTGCTCTTACTGGCAACGACTTCATATTCTCACTCACTGCCACTCAGCAACGAAACTGATCACAATGCCTTGCTAGCATTCAAGGCAGGTCTAAACTACCAGTCAGATGCACTGGCCTCATGGAACATAACCACTGACTTGTGCAAGTGGCGTGGTGTCATGTGCAGCCTCAGGCATAAGCGAAGGGTATTGGCACTGAATCTCTCCTCGACTGGGCTTTTTGGGTACATAACCCCTTCCCTCGGGAACCTCACGTACCTGAGAAGTTTAGACCTCAGCTACAATCTGCTACACGGCGAAATCCCACGGGCGATTGGCCAGTTGACGCAAATGTCATATCTTGACTTGTCAAATAACTCACTCCAAGGTGAAATGCCTTGGACAATTGGGCAGTTACCACAGTTAACTTACCTATATCTATCAAACAATTCACTTCAAGGGGAGATCACACATGGCCTGTGGAACTGTACTCACCTTGTAAGTATCAAACTTGACCTGAACAAACTCGATCGAGAAATCCCTGATTGGCTTGGTGACTTGCCAAGGATAGAGACCATTTCAATAGGGAAGAACAGCTTCACTGGGATCATCCCACCATCACTTGGGAACCTCTCATCGCTGCGGAGATTATACCTCAATGAAAACCAGCTGAGTAGCCCAATCCCTGAGAGCCTTGGCAGGCTTGGTAAGCTTGAGGCAATAGCACTGCAAGTAAACCAACTCTCAGGAAACCTTCCAACAATGCTCTTCAACATTTCATCCCTCATCCTCGTTGGTCTCCAAATGAACCAACTGCATGGCAGACTGCCCCCCAATTTGGGCAATGGCCTGCCACACATCCGATACCTTATCCTTGCTTTGAACCATTTCACGGGAAGTATTCCAGCTTCAATTGCAAATGCAACTACAATCCAATCGATGGACCTCACTGGTAACAACATTGCCGGAGTCGTGCCTCCAGAGATTGGAACACTCTGCCCAAAATACCTGATTCTTAATGGAAACCAGCTAGAGGCAACCACTGTTCAAGACTGGGGGTTCATCACTTCCCTGACAAATTGCACAAGCCTTCGTTGGGTCACATTGCAAAACAACAAGTTTAGTGGTGGGTTTTCGCGCTCTATCGCAAACCTATCAGGGCAACTCGAAGCCCTAGACATCAGATACAATGGGATATCGGGCAAGATACAAATTGGCATTGGCAACTTTCCCAAACTATTCAAGCTAGGGCTATCTGGCAATCAGTTAACCGGCCCCATACCGGACAGCATAGGAAGACTGAACATGCTCCAGTTCTTGACACTAGAGAATAACCAACTCTCTGGGATGATGCCGCCCTCACTCGGGAACTTAACACAATTGCAGCACCTTTCAGTAGATAACAATATGTTGGAGGGACCTCTTCCAATGAACATTGGAAATTTACAACGACTTGTCAACGCAACCTTTTCGAACAATGCGCTTTCAGGTCCATTACCGGGACAAATCTTTAGCCTGTCATCCTTGTCATACGTTCTGGACTTGTCGAGGAATCATTTTAGTAGTTCCCTTCCATCCCAGGTTGGTGGTCTTACAGAGCTCACATACTTGTACATCCATGAGAACAACTTGTCTGGGCTGCTGCCAGATGCTCTCAGCAAATGCCAGAGTTTGATGGAGCTCCGTTTGGATAATAACTACTTCGACGATATGATTCCTTTGTCCGTAAGTAGAATGCGAGGCTTGACACTGCTGAATTTGACCAAAACAAGCTCACAGGAGGAATCCCTCAAGAGTTAGGACTCATGAGTGGCCTGAAAGAACTGTATCTTGGACGGAACAATTTGTCTGCACAGATCCCAAAGTGGATCCTTAGAGTCCCAAGTGCCAGACACTTGCTGTGCCACGAGGTCCGAGTCACCGAAGCACTTAACTCGACCTAGATTCATCTCCTTAGCCATCCGGAGACCATGGAGCAAGGCTTCATACTCAGCTGCATTGCTAGTACAAGGGAACATTAAGCGGAGAACATAACAAAACTTATCACCTCGTGGGGAAGCTAATACGACTCCAGCCCCCGAACCTTCCAATTGCCTGGATCCGTCAAAATGGATGGTCCAATATGTGTGATCCAGCTTTTCTTCAGGTGCTTGCATTTCCATCCAATCATTGATAAAATCAACCAGTGCTTGAGACTTAATCGCCGTCCGAGGCACATACTTCAAATCGTGCGGCCCAAGCTCTATAGCCCACTTGGCAATCCAGCCAGTTGCTTCCCGGTTCTGTATGATATCCCCCAAAGGAGCAGAACTGACCACCATAATTGGATGCCCTTGGAAGTATTGTTTAAGCTTCTTGCTTGCCATAAAAACTCCATACACCAGCTTCTGCCAATGCGGATACCTTTGCTTGGACTCAATGAGCACCTCGCTTATATAATAGACCGGACGTTGAACCGAATGCTCCTTCTTCAACATTTGATACAAAGGGATTGCCTTCTCACCAAGACGACTGATAAACCGGCTTAACGTGGCAATCCGGCCTGCCAGGCGTTGAACATCATTGATACACTTCGGTTTAGCCAAGGAGGTGATGGTTGTGATCTTCTCCGGATTAGCCTCAATTCCCCTATTGGACACCAGGAAGCCTAATAACTTGCCCGCCGGTACACCAAAGATGCATTTGTCCGGATTAAGCATCATCTTGTATGTCCTCAGGTTATCAAAAGTTTCCTTTAAATCACCAATCAGAGTCTCCTTCTCCCTGGATTTAACCACGATATCATCCACGTAGGCGTGTACATTACGGCCAATCTGTTCGTGTAGACAATTTTGCACACAACGTTGATAAGTTGCCTGGGCACTCTTGAGCCCAAAGGGCATAGACACATAGCAGAAGGCTCCAAAGGGAGTTATGAATGCCGTTTTCTCCTCGTCCTTAACTGCCATTTTGATCTGATGATAGCCAGAATATGCATCCAAAAAACTTAAACGCTCACAACCCGCCGTAACATCAATAATTTGATCAATACGGGGGAGGGCAAAAGGATCTGCTGGACAAGCTTTATTAAGATCTGTGTAATCCACACACATGCGCCAGGTGCCGTTTTTCTTAAGGACCAGCACCGGATTGGCAAGCCACTCAGGGTGAAAAACTTCAGCAATAAAACCAGCTGCTAAGAGCCTGGCTACCTCTTCTCCAATTGCCTTGCGTCTTTCTTCGTTAAACCGGCGGAGGAACTATTGCACCGGTTTGTATTTAGGATCCACATTAAGGGTGTGCTCAGCGAGTTGCCTCGGTACACCTGGCATGTCAGAGGGCTTCCATGCAAAAATGTCCCGATTCTCACGGATGAACTCGATGAGCGCGCTTTCCTATTTCGGATCCAAATTAGCACTGATGCTGAACTGCTTGGACGAATCACCAGGTACAAAGTCAACAAGCTTAGTTTCTGCTGCCGATTTGAACTTCAGGGCCGGATCATGCTCCGTAGTTGGCTTCTTTAATGGAGTCATGTCCGCCGGATCAACATTGTCCTTATAATACTTCAGCTCCTCGGTGGCACAAACCGACTCTGCATAGGCCGCATCACCTTCCTCGCACTCCAAAGCGATTTTGCGGCTTCCGTGAACCGTTATTGTCCCCTTGTGACCCGGCATCTTGAGCTGCAAATACACATAACAGGGTCGTGCCATAAACTTGGCGTAGGCCGGTCGCCCAAATAGGGCATGATATGGACTTTGGATTTTCACCACTTCAAACATCAATGTCTCCGACCTGGAATCATGATCATCCCCAAAGGCCACTTCCAGAGCTATCTTACCAACAGGATATGCTGATCTGCCAGGTACTACACCGTGGAACACCGTATTAGACAGTTTAAGATTTTTATCTGTCAGTCCCATACGACGGAAGGTCTCATAGTACAAGATATTAATGCTGCTACCTCCATCCATGAGCACCTTGGTGAACTTGTAACCTCCCACCTGAGGCGCCACCACCAGAGCCAACTGACCCGGATTATCGACCTGGGGAGGGTGATCCTCTCTGCTCCATATGATTGGTTGTTCAGACCAACATAGATAACGGGGTATGGCCGGTTCAACAGAGTTGACCGCCCGCCTCTGAACCTTCCGGTCTCGCTTGTCCAAGCTAGTGGTGAAGACATGGTACTGCCCGCTACTCAACTGCTTTGGGTTGCTCTGGTAACCTGACTGTTGCTGCTGTTGGTTGTAACCACCCTGATTGTTCTGACTATTTTGACCATTATGTCCGCCCGGATTACCATTAAATCCTGAACCGGAACTTCCTCCACCGTAACCCGGCCCGGATCCTGAGCCACCGCCAGATTCGTGATCATACCGGAAATTATTAGAATTCTTGAACTCCTGCATAATAAAGCAATCCTTCCAAAGGTGGTTTGCTGGCGCCTCCTTCGTCCCATGTCTTGGACAGGGCTGGCTTAGCAGATAGTTTAGGTGGTCTGGGTTAGGGTTGGGTGCCCCATTACAATTTTTCGGTTTACCCTTGCGTCGCTGGCCATTGTCCTGTGCGTTGGTATTAGCCACAAAGTCCATGTTACCATCCGCTTTACGCTTGCCTCCACCACCATTGCCTGCCCAGTGATGCTGCTGACCTTTGGAGTTGTTGTTCCTCTTTCCCTTCCCTGTCTTGTCATCATCAGATTCGGGATTCTTGGTACTATCAGAATCAGCACATTTCACCAAAGCGGCCATGAGGGTCCCCATGTCAGTGCAATGACGCTTCATCCGTCCCAACTTCAGCTTCAGGGGCCCAAACCAGCAGTTGCCTTCTAGGGTTAATACTGCGGTGTCAGCGTTGATGCGGTCTGAGGAGTGCAACACTTGTGAAACCCGGCGCACCCAATGAGTCATTGATTCTCCTTCCTCCTGGACGCATGCAGCTAAGTCCACCATCGACATAGGCTGTTTACATGTATCCTTAAAATTGCTGATAAACCAGGCTCGTAATTGGGCCCATGAACTGATAGAATTAGCCGGCAAGCTTTTTAACCAAGTACAGGCCGTTCCTTCAAGCATCATGGTGAAGTATTTCGCACACGCCGCGTCATCCACATCAAGCATCTCCATGGCCATCTCATAGCTCTCCACCCATGTCTCTGGAGGCTGATCCACCATGTAATTTGGTACCTTGCGCGGGCCCTTGAAATCCTTGGGCAGGCACACATTGCGTAAAGCGGAGATAAGGCAAGGCACCCCTAAAGAACTAGAAGTAACACCAGGTTCGATCGAGATGGTTGGACGAACCGGCGTGAGCTGCCGAGCCTGATGCTGTGTGGCTAACTCGGCCTCCCTGCGCACTCAGGCCTGGTTCACCACTTCCTGAGCATTATCAGCACCACCCATCGGGTTGTTGCCACGGGGTGCTCCATGTCGTTCGTTACTCGACACTGCCGGTTCATCCATATGTCTTCTATAGCTCCGGCTTGGACGGGGGGTCGAGTGGATCCGGTCGCGGCTGTACGAGTATGCTTCCTGTTGGACCAAAGCTGTCCTCAAAAGCTCCTTGACCCGTCGCGTCTCTACTGCCTGCGGCGAATCACCTTCAATTGGAATGGCCTCCAGCCGTGCAGCAGCGGCAATGAGATTGTCCATCGGGTTGGAGTAGTGACCCGGAGGTGTTAAAACAGCCTGAGGTATAACGGTGTTTTGACGAGGCGGGTCCATCTGACGAGGCTGAACCGGTGCACCGGTCCCGGGAGCTTCTGCCCGCTTTCCCTCCAGCGGATTGCCGGTTCCTACTCCTGGAGTGTTGAAAAGGTCTCTGGCCTCAAAAACCGGAGGCAAACGGGATCGGTACTTCCTCCTCATGACTTCCTGCGATGCACTCTGGTCCAACATGAGCCTGTAGGCTTGTGCGTCTAAAGCGGCCCGCTCCGTGGCCATCCTGGTGTCCTCAGCTGCCAGATCTACCTTGGCCTGGGTGATCTGTTCCTTCACTTTTGCAATCTCGGCGTTGTGAACACCCTGATCCGCCGGATTAGTCTCCGCCATAAGCACAACCAATGCATCAAATAGCTTTGATAGAACTTGAGCCGGCGGGCGCACAGGGCCTCCTGCCCCGGCAGCCGTCGCCGCTGCTGAACCGGAGGTTGTTGCCGCAGCGATCAAAGAATGAAGCGCTGCTTGTGTGCCAGTCATGAATATTCCAACCCGGTTGGGTAGATCAGAGGGGTCCGGAATACTGTCGCCATCGGAACAACCTCCAATCCGGCCGTCTTGTAGCTAATAAAGAGATTCGGTTTCTCCGGTCGATGACTCATCATCGGAACAAACGACGGTATCGCCGCGAGATTCCGATCCATCCTCATAACTTCCTCCATGAATGACTCCCACGAAGGCATGCTTCATGGCCGGTTTAACCCGGGCGGATCGCTCATGCTGAGCCGTCTCAACGAGGTCAGTGCAGATGTCCGGCTCAGGGCCCGGTTCACCGATCTTGCCAATGAAAATGTGAATGCCACCAAAGGGGACCTGGTACCCGTACTCAATTGAGCCGGCCTTGGGGCCCCAGCCTGCGTTGTCGATGTAGAACTTGTCGCGATGACTCTTAGTCATCCGGCCTACAGCGTAGCCCTCGAGTCCTTCAAACCGGCCCTCCAAGAACCGGAAACCATCGTGCGATAGCCCCACAGTGGGCGCCAACTGTCGTGGAATTGTCACGGCAGATGTCCTAGTGAAAGGACTTAGTCGTGGAGCCATCACGACGGGTTAGTTTGAAGGGGTTAAAGCGGACACAGGGACGCAAGAGAGTTTATACTAGTTCGGCCCGTTCGATGAAGGTAAAAGCCTACGTCTAGTTGTGATGGAATTGATGGGGTTTCAATGACTAGGGAGCAAACAAGCTTCGCCTATGTCTCGAGTTGTTGTCTGTTGTCCTTGAACCGCCGCCGGGTCGTCCCCTTATATACACGGGTGACTCCCGTCGGTTTACAGAGTCCCAATACCGGCTCATAGATGTGTCCGGTTTGGTCTCTACTTATTCCTAACTTACAATACAAGTTAACTACTAACGCCGGTTTACGGCTACAGGCCTTGAACCGACCATGGGCCTTGAGACCTCATCTGCCTTCTTGGGCTTTAACATACTTAACTACTGACGAATTTAACCTGGCCCAGATAGGCCGGTTTACGCCCAGTAGTAATATCCCCAACACTTGGAAAGCATGATATCACTCTACCGACTCGACATATCCTTCAACCTTATTGATGGGCAAGTCCCAGCACATGGTGTGTTCACCAATTTGACTGGGTTCACTTTTTATGGGAATGGTAAGCTTTGTGGTGGCATTCAAGAGTTGCATTTGCCTTCATGTCCTTCCAAAGCAACTGGGGGTGGTCAAAGGATACCCCGAGTCATTCGAAATGCAATGATCCCGAGCATTATAATCATCTTTGTGTGCTTTATAGTGGGACTAGGTTTCTTCTCACTGAAAAATAAATTAAGACTGCCCTCTGTAAGAGCAACCTTGGTAGCTCCTTCCTTGATGGGTGACATGCATCCTCGAGTTTCTTATTCCAACTTGTTCCAAGCAACAAATGGCTTCACAACTGACAATTTGGTTGGCACTGGACGATATGGATGTGTTTGTAAGGGGAGGATGATGCTGAAGAGGTCAGTAAGTACTGTGGCTGTGAAGGTTTTTGACCTTGAACAATCTGGTTCCACGAAAAGTTTTGAGGCAGAGTGTAAGGCACTTGGCAAAATTCGCCACCGTAACTTGATTAGTGTTATAACTTGCTGCTCTTGCTTTGACTTTAACCGGAATGACTTCAAAGCCATTGTTCTCAATTTCATGCCTTATGGGGGTCTTGATAAGTGGTTACATCCAGACATATATTCATCCAATCCAGTCAAAATTCTAACATTAATGCAGAGACTGAGTATTGCTTTTGATGTTGCCGCCGCTCTAGACTATCTGCACAACAACTGCCAGCCAACAATAGTTCACTGCGACTTGAAGCCCAACAATATTCTTCTTGGAGAGGATATGGTTGCTCATGTTGGGGACTTTGGCCTTGCAAAGACACTCATAGATCCAGAAGGGGAACAATTGATCCATTCAAAGAGTTCTGTAGTGGGAACAATTGGATATGTTGCTGCAGGTAACTAAATTTTATTTTATTGTTGTTCTAGCAAATTGGGTTGCTTTGCTCGGTATATTATTCATGTTGTTTGTGCACTGCAGAATACGGTGAAGGTGGTCAAATATCTACAAGTGGGGATGTGTATAGCTTCGGTATTGTCCTCCTTGAGATGTTTACAGGGAAGACGCCTACACATGGTATGTTTACAGATGGATTGACCTTGCTCGAGTATGCAAAGATGGCATATCCAGAACAACTAATGGAGATTGTTGATCCCCTTCTGCTATCAGTTGAGAAGACACGGCGAGATATTAATAGTTACATGTACTCTGTCACAAGACTTGCCCTAGCATGCTGCAGGAAAAGACCAACTGACAGGCTGTCCATGAGAGATGTCATTTCTGAGATGAACAAGATAAGGGCTTGCTATGCTGTAGAAGTAACTAGGAAATGTAGTTCAGAGTGATGCAGCATCAGTGCCTTGTTCTTGAGCACTAGTTTCATAAGATAATAATGGGAAATTCTTATTTATACCAATATAAAATCATGAGTTGAACTTTGTATACTTTTGATCTGTCAACCCAATTTCATAATTATTCATCCAGTTTTTTTTCGAGAAAATGCAAAGGGCTTTTGCATTTCATTGCATTGAAAAGGTGGAGTTTTGATACAATCCTCCAAGGGGGTCAGTTACAGATTAGGATCAGCAAAACTAGTGCACGTCCCAGGTGGGCGGCAGAATGACGCGTAGGCCGTGGGCGCCCGCTCTTGCACACTGCTCGGCTTCCTCTTTGATCTTCGAGACGAGGACCTGAACCAGGGGTTGGGCGCCCTCAAAGATGTATTCGTTGCGTTGTTTCCAGATCATCCATGGTGTCAACAGAGCAATGGAGGCTAGGCCCTTACGCATCGGTGTTGGCGTGTTTTTCCTTGCCTGTAGCCACCAGTCCATGAGTGAATCTTCGTGGCTTGGCCCTGCAGTGGTCATCCGTAGCCCGGACAGGATTTCGTGCCAAGTCTGCCTGGTGAAGGGGCACTGCAAGAGGAGGTGGTGCATTGTCTCGGGAGCCTGGTCACAAAGTGGGCATCGTGGCTGGTGCTGGAGACCGCGTCGAGCCAAGCGGTCGGCCATCCAGCACCGGTCTTGGTTGGCCAACCGGTGGAAAAACTTTACTCTTGGCGGCGCCCAATTCTTCCATATGAGCTTCCATGAGAAGCAAGTCATGGATCCCTGGAAGGTGGCAAGATAGCATGAGCTAGCAGAGTATATATCGGAGGCCGTCCATCTCCAAACTAGCTCATCAGCAGTTATTGTGAACAAATGTTACAACCTCCCGTAATAACACTAACCTATGGCCTCTTAGTATACTTATTTTGTTCTGTCACTCTATAATTTATATTATATACATGAGAATTCTTGTTTTTACGTGCACAAAGAATTTGTCCTTTTAAGTGATATTGTTTTTATGAAAAGATCTTATGTTGTAACGCCCCGGATGTAATTTACCATATCTGTATTCCAACTCTTTCCATTTTCGGCACTAAGTTATGATTTCCCTCGTGGTTGGGTTTTGTCTTTGTTTTGCATTTTTTCCATGTCATGCATCTCATATCATGTCATCATGTGCATCGCATTTGTATACGTGTTCGTCTCATGCATCCGAGCAATTTCCCCGTTGTCCGTTTTGCATTCCGGCACTCCTACGTCCTCCGGCATCCCCTTTTGCCTCTTTTCGTGTGCGGGTGTTAAACGTTCCCGGGTTGGACCGAGATTTGCCAAGCGGCCTGGGTATACCACCGGTAGATTGCCTGTCAAGTTTCATGCCATTTGGAGTTTATTTGATACTCCAACGGTTAACCGAGGAACCGTAAAGGCCTCGTGTGTGTTGCAGCCCAACACCCCTCCAAAGTGGCCCAATAACCCATCCAAACCCCCTCCATCCTCTCGGTCGTTCGATCACGATCGCGTGGCCAAAAACCGCACTCCATTTGGAGTCTCCTAGCTCCCTCTACCTATAAATTAGTCTTCCCCGTCCAAATCGGAGGCAACTCCAACCCTAACCCAAAAATTTTCCCCTCTGCGCCGCCGGACACGTCCGGGCGACGCCGGGCGAATCGCGCCGCCGCCCGCGGCCTACCAGGGGCCGCCACGTGGCGCCTCCGCACCCACATCGCCGAAGCCTGGCGGGCCCAGCCGCGGCCCCCGCGGCCCGCTACCCCGCCGCCCGCGCCCGCCGCTCCACGCCCCGGTGAGGCCGCGCCGCCGCCAGCGCCTCGCCCAAGCGCCCATCGGACCCCTCCCCACGCGCCGCCCATCCTCATCACCACCGGCCGCCGCCGCCCTTCCCCTGAGCACCCGGCCTCGCCCCGCGCCCGCCGGCGACCTCCTCCGCCTCCCCGCCCCGGGATCCGGCCGGATCCGGCGAGATCCGGCCCGGATACGCCATCTCCGGCGAGCCCCGCCTCCTTCCCCGCCATCTCCGGCGAGCCCCGTGCCGACGAGCCTCGGTTCCCGTGCCCCGTTGACTTTTTCCCCGAGGTTGAATTTCTCTAAGTCCCGAAACTTTTGCATTATGTTGCTCTGTTCATCATGCCATATCTCATCATCCGTAGCTCCGTTTTGCGCGTGTGATATATCGAAATGTTCGTTAGGATGTGCTCTTCATTTCATTCCATTGCACCATGCTTGTTTGAGTCCATCTTGATGCCTAAAATGCTGTTGCAAGGGTGCTATGTAATGCTAGTTTCTGTTTCTTAACAGATTATGGACATTTGTCTTTTTTGCCATGATTATTGTGTGCCTCCTATGAACTTGAGCCCTACATGTATTTTGGGCTATGCCATGCCATCTTTACAGGGGTGTATGCTATGTATTTTTGTGATCAATATGGTGACTAGCACAAGTATGCAAAGTAGCTCTCGTGATGTTGCTGATTTCAGGGACTTAGAATTCTTCTAAGTCATTTCCCTGAGGTTATTTTTATGCCATGTATTCATGTTGCTACAGAGTGATTCATGCCTCTTTCGATCATGTTCAGTAAGGATGATTTTGAGATATTGTTATGTTCTATCCATCCATGTCTTTGTTTGCATTTATGGAGTACCCTAGCATGACTCAATCTCGCTCTACTTTTGCTATAAAATATTCCTGGCAGATTGTTTGCGTGTTAATCAATTTTGCCAAGGTTGTTGTAGTTGATCCATGCATGCTATGAGGTTGTTCTTGCCATGTTTAGCTTCTTGATCATGTCTTTTTGATGGGTGTATGCTTAGTTTTTCATGCAATGCCTTGTGGTGAGTGCATCGAGCTCGCAAACATGCCTACGTAACTCTGTTTTGCCATGTCCAGTTTTCTGCTAAGTCTGAAACTGTTAACAAAACTTGCTATATTTACATGGGTGCCATCATGTCTTCTGATCCTTTTTGGCTTATGGTCAGCAAGGGACTTTTGTTATATGCTTTGAGTAGTGTCATGCCATGCCTTGCTTTGCCATGATATGTTCATGTAGCATGTTGTTATCTTGCTCTAAACATTGCTTCCTGATGTTAATTCCTGGCATGTTAGTATTTTCACTAAGTCTGTGATGCTGTTATCTTTTGCACTTTTGACATGCTTGTTTGAACCTGCTATTATGTGATTTAGCCGTAGCTCAGTGTTCATCTTTTGTCAAGCATCTTGAGTGGATCACTGCCATGTGCTTTGTTGTTATGTTAGAGTGCAGTAGCTTAGTTTCTTGTTGCATTCTAGATGGCATCGTGCTGTTAATTGCAGAATAGTGCAATTATTGTTTTGCTTGCCATTTGCAAACCGTGCATCCGATTCCGGTGTCCTTATATCGATTTCGACAGAAATCAACTCATCTTTCCAGCGGAGCTCTTGGTTTGCCAAGTTGAGGTCTGGTTCAATCTTTTCCTTCCGGAGCATGCATATGCATTGCATATCACATCCCGCATATCATGCCATGTTTTGCATCATGTTGCTTGCGCATTGCACAGTGGTTGATTGTGTTTTCCTTTGCTTGTGTTCTTGCCTTGGGTAGAGCTGGGAGATGAGTACGTGATCGAGGAACCCGTTGAGTACGCTTACGAGGATCAAGCTTACGTCAACTCGGAGAACTTTGCAGGCAAGATGACTATACCCTCGAAATCACTTCTATCTCTGCTTGCTAGTTGCTCGCTCTATTGCTATGCCTATGCCGCGATACCTACCACATACTCTATCTTGCCTCCCATATTGCCATGTCAAACCTCTAACCCACCCTGTCCTAGCAAACTGTTGTTTGGCTATGTTACCGCTTTGCTCAGCCCCTCTTATAGCATTGCTAGTTGCAGGTGAAGATTGGAGTTTGTTCCTTGTTGGAACATGGTTATTGTTGGGATTTCACAATATCTCTTATTTAATTAATGCATCTATATACTTGGTAAAGGGTGGAAGGCTCGGCCTTATGCCTGGTGTTTTGTTCCACTCTTGCCGCCCTAGTTTCCGTCATACCGGTGTTATGTTCCTTGATTTTGCGTCCCTTACGCGGTTGGGTTATAATGGGAACCCCTTGACAGTTCACCTTGAATAAAACTCCTCCAGCAAGGCCCAACCTTGGTTTTACCATTTGCCACCTAAGCCTTTTTCCCTTGGGTTCCGCGGACTCAAGGGTCATCTTTATTTTAACCCCCCCCCCCCGGGCCAGTGCTCCTCTGAGTGTTGATCCGAACCGAGCTGCCTGTGGGGCCACCTCGGAGAAACTTGAGAGTTGGTTTTACTCGTAGCTAGTCTCATCCGGTGTTGCCCTGAGAACGAGATACGTGCGACTCCTATCGGGATTTGTCGGCACATCGGGTGGCTTTGCTGGTCTTGTTTTACCATTGTCGAGATGTCTTGTAACCGGGATTCCGAGTCTGATCGGGTCGTCCTGAGAGAAGGAATATCCTTCGTTGACCGTGAGAGCTTGTGATGGGCTAAGTTGGGACACCCCTGCAGAGTTTTGAATTTTCGAAAGTCGTGCCCGCGGTTATGGGCAGATGGGAATTT